ATACTAGGTTTTTTTCTGACAACTATAGCGCACTGTTGATTCACATTAAGATTACTATCAGCTAAAATCTCTTAGCTTTTGGGAGGGTAAATTTTTGCTAAGCCATAACTCTTCCATTCTCTATTTTGCAATTTGTTCTGAAGTACCCGATATACATGGTTTAGTGTTCATACCTATTGCATTTCATCTGGATACTGAGATTTAGTCCATATTCTAAAATATCCAAATTCTTTCTGACTAGACTCAGCCAATATGTCATTTATTCTCTTATTTTTAACTGAAAATTTTAAGAACATTATTTTTATAGTCTTATCCAAATCATTAGGAGAGCACTGCAATGAGCTAAACCAAGAGCAAATCACTGCAACCCACCAGCACACAGAGCTCACCCATGGCTAATGATTATACATTAATCAGCCATTTTAGGATTTTTTTTTCATGAGTTACAACTCAAACTAATTATACTCTATTTTTTTTTCCATATTGTCAAAAAGAAAAGACACCATGCTAGGAAAAGTATCATAAAAGATGTTGTCAAAAACCTTGCTCTCCTTTATAAACATAGAATGATTTATCATTCCAGAAACATCATTCATTTATATGTTGCATATATATGTTGCATTTCTGCTAGGTACAGGGGCTACAGGTAGTGAAAATAGAGACTAAATCATTGCCTTCATGAACTTTATGTTTGAGTGAGGAAAATGTATAATGAAAATAACAAAATAATATAAAATATAATTTCAGGTTGTGATAGATACTCTAAAATAAATAAATGTGGTGACATAATAGGGTATAAGCTAGAGGAGTGACTTAAGGAGACTGAGCTCTGTGAAGATGATATCTGAGCTGAGTCCTTACAAAATGAACATAACAGGATCTGGTCATATGGGGAAAAAAGCACTGAGAAATTATCATGTGCAAACTCCCTCAGATGGGAAGGAACGTACTGTATTCTAGAAACAGAAAGGCCAATATGCGGAGACCTAATGAGTGAAAAGGGAAATAATTCAGGGTAGGGCTAGAAGTCAGGCAGTTGGAAGTTTATATAAATCTGAACAAGATGTAAAAAATGTTTGAATTTCCCTGTAAAATCTAGGAAAAACAATTGCTATTATAAACATCTTTAAAATTTACTTTGGCTTTTAGATAGAAGTAGGTTAAAGAGATACAAGTATAAGCATGGAAACCATATAAAACCTTCCTGTGGTCCAAGATAGAGATGATGGGGGTATAGGCTGAGATGTTGACAGATAAGATGGATTAAAGTATATAGATTTGAGATAAATATTTTTGGTGAAATTGTCCAAATGTCAAGACTATATTATATCTGAGTGTGGTCTTTAGCGGAGAGATATGGCCTGGAGAGAAAATTTTGGAAGCCACCAGCATGTAGTCATGGAATTTACTGTAATAATTGATAAAAGTCTAAAGACCCCCTGAAGGATATTTTTTAAAAAGATTTATTATGGAGATACAAAAAACATTTAAAATAACATTTACTAATAAAACATTTATTAATGGAAAGATTCAATATCTTGAAGACTGATTACTTTTAAAATAATCTAAAATTCAAGATATTTTAATAATTTCAATAAAAATTCTAATGTACTTTCATAGAACTTGAAAAGTTGATCCTGAAAGTTATATGAACAAGCAGAAAGTAAGAAGAGCAATAAAGAAACAAATAAACAAACAAAAAACCACCACCAATAACAACAACAACAAAGGTGAGCCAGTTTGCCTAGAGATATCAGATTTAGTATAAAAGCATAATTACGGCATTGCAATACCAATGCAGGTATAAAGAAATATACCAGTGGAATAGAATAGAGAGCCCAGAAAATAGAGCCACCCTACCACCCAACAAATGCATCACTGGGTATTCACACTAAAGATACAAATTTAGGAATCCAAAGGGGCACCTGCACCCCAATGTTTATAGCAGCAATATCCACAATAGCCAAATTATGGAAAAACCCCAGATGTCCATTATTGATGAATGGATAAAGAAGATGTGATTATATATTTATATATATATATATATATATATATATATATATATATATGCATATATATATGATGAAATATGCAGCCATCAAAAAATGAAATCTTGTCATTTGCAACAATGTAGATGGAACTAGAGGTTATTAGGCTAAGTAAAATAAGTCAATCAGAGAAAGACAATTATTATATGATCTCACTGATATGTGGAATTTGAGAAACAAGGCAGAGGTTCATAGGGGAAGAGAAGAAAAAAAAAAGAAACAAGACAAAACCAGAGAGGGAGACAAACCATAAAAGACTCTTAATCTCAGGAAACAAACTGAGGGTTGTTGAAATGGAGGGGGGGGTGACAGAGATGGATTGCCTGAGTGATGGACATCAGGGAATGTGTATGTTGTGATGAGCACTGTGTGTTGTGTAAGGCTGATGAATGAATGTACCCCTGAAACAAATAATACATTATATCTTAATAATAAATAAATAAATAAGAAGAATAGAGAATCCCAAAGCTTGTATACTTTGAAAAGTATTTCAATTTACCTACCAATCTATATTTACAAATGGAATACTAGTAAATAAATTATGCATTTGATATATGTATATCATATATGTTTAATGCATTATATAAAACATGTAGATGTATGCACATATTACAAATATGTATAATACATATATTGCATACAAATGTACATAAAACAATAGAAATGTTTTAAAATTGTGTGCATGTCTGTGAAACAATGATAGTATTTTACATTAATTGGGAAAGGATCAACTATTTAATACATGATGGTGGCCCAATTGTTAGCACTATTAAAAAAATCCCTACCTCAGTTAGACATAAAAATAAATTTTAGATGAAATAAAGATCTAAATGTTAATGATACTTCAGTTTTGTTTTGTTTTGTTTTTAAAGAAAACATAAAAACTATGTAAAATTTTTGTTGGAGAATTTCTTTACAATGCACAAACCAACAAACCCTTATACAGGGTAGATGTTCAATAAATATCAAAAGAATTAAAAGATGGATCATTAAAGGTCCTAAAATCTTCAATGATCAAAATATTATTTTAAAAGTAAAAATAAAAGCTACAGTCAACAGAATGTATTTTTAACAAACCCAAGCAATGTAGTTAAAAAAAAAAAAAAGACAATTAAAAGTAGCAAAGGATTCAGGCAATTCACAGAATTAGAAAACTAAATGGTTAACAAACGTTTGAAGAATGTTCCCATTAGTAATCAGAAAATTATAGATTAAACCCAGTGAAATACATTTAATACTCTTGTAATTCAAAAAAACATTTTAAAAGGTGTCAGCCTCCAATGCAATCCATAGTATAGAGAAATGTGAACTCTCCTAGACTTCTGAGGGGAGTATAAATGATTCAGCTGCTTTACAGACCCCACTGCAGTGTTCTGGTTCCTAGAGAGATCTCAGAAAACTGACATCATTTGCAAGATCTCAGTTGCAGGTCCTCTGGACTCTACTTCTCTAGTCAGTTTTTACTTGTTAACCAATGTTAAATCCAAAGAACGAGTCTATCTTACTGTTTCTTCAATACTCTTAGAGATGAAATTATCAGTAAGGTAAATCAATAATTTAACACATATACCACTTTTAGAAAGATGAGAATCTTAGCAGATATCCAGAGATTTGAAGTCTCTAATCATTGTTATATTTCACATCCTTACAATATTTGTGATTTTATAGGGAGAAATTATCCATATTATCTCTTGATTATTCTAAGACAAGGTGTTTAATATTGCCCTTAGGTTATACCAATTCATGGCTCAAGACACTATCCTAGAAATAATTCCCTAAAAATATGTAGCTTTTCAGATAACAAACAAACAAAAACTTCTGAATTGCAGACAAGAAAACATTTCCTGGCTTTTTTCAAACTCATGTCTACTTTGAATAAAAGAGGGGAGAAGAAGTCATTCCTTTCGTATTCTGAAATTTCAAAATCAATAATGGCTAAAAATAAATTATTAGACAAACTCCTACTTTGATTTCACACTGCACTTTTCTCTCACAAAATTCTGATATGGTCCCTTAGGGAAAGTTATAAGAACCAGGTGCAAAACCATAGTGAGGTGCCACCTCAGAGCAGTCAGAATGGCTAAAATTAACAAGTCAGGAAACAACAGGTGTTGGTGTGGATGAAGAGAAAGGGGACCCTCCCACACTGTTTGTGGGAATGCAAGCTGGTACAGCCACTCTGGAAAACAGCATGGATGTTCCTCAAAAAGTTGAAAATAGAGCTACCCTACAACCCAACAATTGCACTACTGGGTATTTGCACCAAAGATACAAATGTAGTGACCCAAAGGGGTACTTGCACCCCAATGTTTATAGCAGCAATGTTCACAATAGCCAAACTATGGAAAGATGCTAGATGTCCATCAACAGATGAATGGATAAAGAAGAGGTGGTATACATATACAATGGAATACTATGCAGCCATAAAAATGAAATCTTGCCATTTGCAACAACATGGATGGAACTAGAGGCTATCATATTAAACCAAATAGCTCAATCAGAGAAAGACAATTATCATATGTTCTCACTGAAGAGAGGGAAAAATAAAACAAGATGAAACCAGAGAGGGAAACAAACCATGGGACTCTTAATCTCAGGAAACAAACTGAGGGTTGCTGGAGGGAAGAGGGATAGGGTTGCTGGGTGATAGACAATGGGGAGGGTATGTGCTATGGTGAGTGCTGTGAATTGTATAAGACTGATGATTCACAGACCTGTACCCTTGAAACAAAAAACAAACAAACAAAAAACCTCAAAACAGAACAAAAAGAATCAGGTGCTAAGTAAAGAACTTGGTGCTTAGTAAAGAATAAACCATGACCTTAGGACAAGTCATCTTCTGTGTTTAAAATAAATACCTTAGTGTAGTTTCATATGTATAAAGGTCCAAAGTATTATATATAATTTTTTATAGTTAGTTTGATGAAAGAGACAGCAACTTAGTTATCATACCTGTGGACACAAGGTTTCCAGGTGATTGGCTGCAATTCTGACAATTTTAATTCCATCTTCATTTGTTGACATGGAACAAGCAAGATTTGCAACCTTCAATACAATCCAAAATAAAAGAAATTATTTCAGATTATTAAAGAAATGCAGAAACATTGGTTATCCTAAATAAGTTAGAGCATGTACATACTCATTGAAAAATCTTAGTGATAAACAACAGCATTCTCATAAATGTCACTGCTATCTGTTTTATGGAAGTAGTCAGAGAATTTATTGAAACAATTAGTAACAAAGGGCTCCAGAAAATTGTTTAAAATAAAAAGGAAGACTGATGAGTGAATCAGTCAACTCTATCCAGTCTCTTGGTATCAACATCCAACCTGTAATAAGATGCTAACTATTATGGTTTCTTATAGGACTGAAAAAAAAAAAAAGTTTATCTTTGGATTAAATGCTAATAGGCTCTTGGAATCTCATACAATTATGATTTTTTAAGTTTGTAATTGTTTTATTATTATTTTTTTTCATTCCTCAGCAGTCTATCATGCATACTTAAGTTGCACTAAGCATGACTTTATCTTTACTCACGTTTTGTTCAGCAACAAATATATTACAAAGCTGGACCTATACAAGATAATTAAATACTTCCTATTCTCGCTTTTCTACTACAACTTCATGGGAACTGTTTGACATTCTGGCAGTCAATTTGATTCAAGCATTAGTAACACCTAAATTCCTTTGTACATTACTCCTTTTGAAACTTGCACTATTTTCCAATGAAATGGATGCTCTTTTAAATAATCACTTAATGTCCATTACCTAAGCCCAATATTTGCATATACTTTCTTTATACCATGAAAGAGCCATGAGAAAGAGCATGGGATTCCTTCCCTTTCCTTTGATCCTCACTCTTATTCAACATTGTTCTTGTTAACGGGTGAGTGAGTGTGTCCAGCTGTAATGTTTCCTTGTTCATTGTCTTCATCACTGCAAGGAAACAGCTTTTCTATCATCTTTCTAATCTTCCTAATGTCTCTGTTGGTTATTACATACTTCAACACATTGCAGGTTTTACCACTCAAATCCAGAATGCATTCAGTTGCAGAAAACCACACGTTAGCTGCAGACAATAGATGCATACAACAAATATCCTTGGGTCACAATTGTAGAGTACCAGAAAATGTAACTTAAGTGGATTTATAGTCTGCTTTTTTATAGCATTACTTTTAATATGTGAACAGTGAAACAATTCCTTGATTTGCATTTACATATAATGAAATAAAAGCCATACATTATTTAACTGTGGAAGGGCACTGTTCACTTTATTAATGTATATGAAAATGGCTTACTTGAAAAGGGCTTTTGTTGGCTTGAAGGTCACAATGCTTCAACTTTCATATCTGACATACAATTAGCACATTCGTGAATTATTTGAAAAGGGCAGTAGTTTCTGCAACCCCTCCCACCTCCGAATTCTACGCACAGAAAGTACGATTCAGCAGTCTAATCATTTGACATGTCTTCTAATAATTTGCACTGTATAGAAGAAAATCTCTATCTGTAAATTTGAGCAGTTTTTTTTAAAGTAAAATTTTAAAAATTAGAAATTAATGGCTCAATCTTTTGGTCAACTCAGATGAATGCTGGTTAATCCAAAGTTTAAAAATTACAAAAACGTGCCCTAAATACTCTTTTCTTTATTTTTTAATGGATCATTTTTCTCTATTTTCCCTTTTAAAAACAGACATTCTTGTACTGGACCTTTGCTAGAGACTATGTTTATTGTAAGCCTATTCAGTGACTAGCATAACGTGGAAATCATCCTAATCACAAAAGTCCTGTTTACATGAGTAAACTTGAGTTTTACAAAATTCTCAATTGAAAATGCAGCACAGCTAAGTTTTCTGATCAATTAATGATCATCATAACATTCTGTCTTTCTTCATTCAGACAGACTTGAAATTACCCTTACCAGAATGGTTTTGTGGCAGATAAATTTTCTAAATAATCAAATACTATTTCCAGATTAAGGCAAGTGGAGTTTTAGTAATATTATATACAAAACAAATTTGAATTTATGAGATAACTAGTACTTTGTGACAAAATGAAAAAAAGTGAAGTGATAGAAATAAAATCTCTTTACACTTCTAATTTGAGTGACTTGTGATAAATTTTCCAAAGCCACATCAACATGTAAATGAAAGCTAAATTTCCTCTAACAATATTCCTAAATTTTGTGTGGCCTTTTAGGAAACTAGTTATGTTTCTGAGCACAGCATGAAGGCAACTCCCATTAACAAAGAAAGCAGCATGCAAATAAAATATTTTGTAAAACTGTTTGAGATATTTAGAGATCTGACATCATTTGTATATCTAACTCTGACAACATTTCAAAGTCTGTGTAAAGCTTGATTATTTGAGAGATCCTTGTGGAAAGTTTCTTTCCACTGAGGGAAATTAGGACGTAGGAAATTTTTAGAGACAAACCGATCTTGAACCTAAAGACAAAATAGGCTTGAACCTGATTTCCACAATTAACAAGCATTTGACCATGGGCAAAATGTTAGCTTATCTTAGCTCATTTTCTAACCTGAAAAATGGGTATGATAATGCCTATGTCACTAGAGTGTTTTGATTAAATGAGCTAGTGCATGGAGATGGCCTGATGCTACTAGGTAGGTTGCCCATGTATGAATTTCTTTCCAGTTAATCTCTTTCTATACAATGCAGGGTGGGAAAGAGCAGTTAGTCTCTTAAGAGGTTTTACAGAATTAAAAACTCACTAGCCTAAAGAAATTTGACAATGTGTCTAAGCTGAGAGTCACAAACTGAAGCACTTTCAGGACTCACGCAGGAAATACAAACACAGAATCTTGATATAACTCAGTGGTTGGGTGGGTTGGTAAGTCCCCAGGCAAACATGAGTGTGTATGCCCTCGCCTCCATAAAGGTATTAGAATTCATTAAGACAAGATGAAAAACAAACAACATTTCCTTGACCAAACTAACAGTCTAATGGCTTTAGTTCATAGGTCAGCAGTTTGTGAATTCTGATCCCATTCTCTAATCTCTTATTCTATCGATAGGAAAACAAAATCAAAGAGGGAGAAGAAACATACTCAAACTATCCAATGACAGGGAGACTATTAAGTAAAGCTATGTGTGTGCTCTTTTATGCCACCCTGAATTAAAAGTATTGATGAAATTTCCCTCATTGAAAGAACTTTTTATTGATATTGTACTACATTCTTAGCCAAGTCCATGAAGAACAGTCTAAATTATCCTAAATAAATGGGACCAAAGGTGCTCGGGTAAATTCATAAGTAGTTTTTTTAATTTTTATTTATCTTTTTAAAGATTTTATTTATTTATTTGACAGACAGAGATCACAAGCAGGCAGAGGCAGGCAGAGAGAGAGAGGAAGCAGGCTCCCTGCTGAATTGAGAGCCTGATGCGGGGCTCCATCCCAGGATCCTGGGATAATGACTTGAGCTCAAGGCAGAAGCTTTAACCCACTGAGCCATCCAGGTGCCCCCATAAGTTTTTTAAAAGAAAAAGGCCAGGACACAATATTTTTTCATTTTTATAAAAAATTAAATTGGGACACCTGCGTGGCTCAGTTGGTTAGGCATCTGACTCTTGGTTTTGGCTCTGGTCATTACCTTGGAGGGGTAGGAATGAGTTCCACCTATCCCTCTATTCCTTCCCCTGCTTGTGCTCTCTCTTTCTCTCTCCCTCTCAAATAAATAAATCTTTAAAAAATAAACTTTATCATTAAAATCATTTCTGATACTGTATCTAACAATTGCAAAAGATAAGTTAAAAAAATCTTTAAACAGCAACATATCATGTTACCAAGAGTGATTTTATTCATTTATGTATTTTACATCAGTGTCTTTCACATGAACCTTTCCCCTTCCCACCAGTCCTTCTGCCTCTAAGATGTCTGTCCATTCTAGACCTTTCACACTTGACTAAATGTACTGCACTATCTGGATTGTTAAAAAAAAAAAATTGTAGACAACAAAGCCTTGTCAGATGATTCCTAAACTAATTAACATTTGTTATCATGCTGTTGATCTTCTCTTCCTGGCTTCTAATTCAAGTTTTGTATATCAATTTTGTATGTTCCTGTCCTCCTTTCTATTTCCTGAACATTGGTTCTAGCTTTCACATGGCATAGAATATTGTACCCAGGACTCCTAGGTGGTTCAATCGGTTAAGCACCCGACTCTTGGTTTTTGGCTCAGGTCATGATCTTGCAGTTGTGGGATCAAGCCCCAGGTTGTGGGCATGTTCAGTATGGAGTCTGCTTCAGATTCTCTCTCCATCTCCCTGTCATTCACTCTCTCTTTCTCTCTCTCTCAAATAAATAAAATCTGAAAAAAAAAAAAAAAAAGAACTTGGTACCCTTTATTCCCTAACCTATGGTCTTAAGTGACAAATGAATCATTGAACATCATATCAAAAACTAATAATGTACTATACATTGGGTAATTGAATTTGAATAAAAATATAAATAAATAAATAAATAAATAAATAAATAAATAAGAATGAAATAATCTACTTTGGAACCTGGCCCTGTAGAACCCTTCCAGTTAGGCTAGTTCTGTCCCTCTCTTTCCATCAAGGTCTGGATCATGCTTGACCCAGAAAAATGACTTATTAATTAGAGTCAAGGACAGTTATCAAAAAAGATATTTGGGAATGTAAAGTATTCTCAATGACTTTTCAGTTAGTCTACCATGCTATCTCTTCAACTCAGCTTTTCTTTATTGCTTTGTTCTGATCTGGTAAACAGACTGTATTTTAAAAGTACTGAATACCAGACAGGGACCTGAATGGCTTAGTCCGTTAAGCATCTGACTTCAGCTCAGGTCATGATCCCAGGGTCCTGGGATTGAGCCCCACATCAGGCTTCAGCCTCAGAAGGGAGTCTGCTTGTCCCTCTGTCCCTGCCTCCACTTGTGCTTACTCTCTCTCTCTCAAATACATAAAAATATTTTTTTAAAACGTATTGAATACCAAAGCATGCTGTATTTCAACATTCTAATATCAAGTTTTATTTGAAGTCTCAGAAGCATCAGTTGTCCTCT